CAACAAAAGGTTAATATCTGAAATGGTCCATATTAAAAAACAAAAGCATGGGATTAATAGACAAAATGACACGAAGTCTTTGCCGGATTTGTATTCTGACATTATACATTCTCTTTCTCCTTTCTAATATCTTCTGTCCTTTTCCTCCTATTTTTCCGTTTTCCGTTTATCGATAATGTTTTTCTGTTTGACATTTCGTTGTATCGTTTAAGTTAGATGCTCGTTACCTTTGCGAATTTGCTTACAATAACCTATTAAATTAAAAAGACTTTTTTATTGTACCACGAAATGGACCACATTTTACATTTTTTTCTCGTTGTGTATCATTGGACTCGTAACAGATTTATTAAGGTATATTATCATATTTTTAATTTTTATGTGATTAATATTAATTCTTTTTGTTTACGGTTACTTTTCTAGAACTTTCTTATGACTTTGTTAATTCTTGATAAAAATGACTGACAGCGTATTACACAGAGGAAAAAAAAAATTTTTTTGTTAAGGAATTGTAAGAATATTGTAAGATTATGTACGAATTTTTAATTTAGAACGATATTTATATTATTGTAAGATTGCATTGAAAATGACTCAATTGGAGTTGAAACGTTTGTTTTATTTTATTGTATTTTAATTGTTTTGTATTAGGTTTGCTTATCTAAATTATAATTCTTTTATACGTTATTGGCTCTTTGCCCTTCTTTTATACCTTTTGTTTATATATATACACACACACACGCGCGCACACATACACACACACACACACACACACACACACACACACACACACATATATATATAGAATAACTGTTAAGTTTAGATTAATAATAATAGTTATGGGAGATTATGATTTTATTTTCTGAGTATTTTTAATGATTTATATAGCTTTTTTTATTAAGATATTTATTTATTATATTTATTTCATATTTGATTACCTAAGAGTTATGTTGAGGCCCTCGTTTGTGGTTTTAGCTGAGGTATTATTAAAGATGGGAGGATATGGATTAATTCGATGTTAGAAATATTAGGTGTTGGAATTAATTCGTAGCGTTTTACAAGTGATGGGAAGTACTTTCATTAATGTATTTTTTAATGCTCATGTGAAATAAATAACATTCTTTCATTAAAAAGGCTACGAATTAATTCCAACACCTAATATATTATAAGGATATGATTAAATATGGGTACATTATTTTTAGAATTAGGATTATTGGTAGAATTATAATAAGAATTTTATGTTTAGTAGATAATAGTATAATTGATATAAAAAATATGTTAGGTTATTCTTCAGTAGTTCATATGAATTTAATATTGTGTAGATTGATGACTTTTTTTAAAGTAGGTATAATTGTTGAGGGATTTGTGATGATAATTTCTCATGGGTCATGACTTGGAATATTTTATATGGTAAATTTGTATTATGAACGATCGGGGAAATGATTATTGTTTTTAAATAATGATATAGTAAGTAATTTACCTACAGATATAATATGGTGGTTTTTATTTTATTGTGTGTTGGTTTTATTATAAATTTTTCTTTCTCTTTGTGTCATTTAATTTAATGTTGCCGTTAACGTAGCCATTGTCGTTGCCGTTGACGTTTGTTTATCATTGCCGTTGCATTTGCCATTATTGATGTCATCAACGTTGTCATTACTGTTTACGCTACTGTTGCCGTTAACGCTGCCGTTGCCGTTAACGTTGCTGTAGCTGTTGCCGTTATCATTGCCGATAACCAATGCTGTTAACATTACCGTTGCTGTTACCGATGACGTTGCCGTTCATAATGCCGTTAACGTTGCCGTTGCCGTTAACGCTATTGCTATTGTATTATGTAGTTGCCGTTGTCATTGCCATTAACGGTACCGTAACCGATACCTTTAACGGCAACGTTAACGGTACTTTTAACATTGCCATTGTCATTAATGTAACCGTTGCCGTTAATGTTGCCGTTGCCGTAGTCAATGCCGTTGTCGTTGCTGATGCTGTTAATGTTGCGGTTGATGGTGGCATTAGAGTTACCATTACCGTTAATGTTGCCGTAGCCGTTAACGTTGCCGTTGTCATTTACGTTGCCTTTGCCGTTGCCGTTGTTATTGCCATTACCATTAACGCTACCGTTGCTATTACAGTTGCCGTTGCCGTTAACGTTGCCGTTTCCGCTGCCGTTGCTGTTGCCATTGCCGTTAATGTTAGAATTGCCATTGCTATTGCCGTTAACATTGCCGTTAACATTGCCGTTGCTATTTTCGTTAACGTCACCATTAGCGTTGTCGTTAACGTCACCGGTGTCACTATTGCTGTTAACGTCGCCGGTGCCATTGCCATTAACGTTGCCATTACTTTTGACGTTAAAATTGCGGTTGTTGTTGCCATTAATTTTGCCGTTGCCGTTAACGTTGCCATTGCCGTTAACATTGCCGTTGCTGTTTTCATTAACGTCGTTAGCATTGTTATTGCTGTTAACATGCTTTGCCGTCAACGTTGCCGTTAACGTTACCGTTACCATCAATATTATCGTTGTCGTTGCCATTAACGTTGTCATTACCGTTGACATTACTGTTGTCATTAATGTTGAAAATGCCTTTGCCGTTAACGTTGCTGTTACCGATGACGGTGCCGTTGCCGTTGCCGTTGTTTTTTAAAGTTGCTGTTGCTTTGCTGTCAACATTGCCGTTGCCGTGACGTTGCCATTATCGATGCCGTTAATGTTGCCGTTGCCGTTGTTGTTAACGTTACTGTTGTTGTTAACATTGCCATTGTTGTTAACGTTACTGTTGTTGTTAACGTTGCCGTTGTCGTTAAAATTGCCGTTGCCGTTAATGCTGTTATTGCCGTTGCCGTTAACGTTGCAATAGTTGTTGTGATTAATATTGCCGTTACCGTTTGCGTTGTCTTTTAAAGTTGCTGTTGCTTTGCTGTCAACGTGTCGTTATCATTGCTGTTCCCGTTAACGTTGCCGTTGCCATAACGTTAGAATTGCCATTAACATTGCTGTTGCCTTTACCGTTTACGTTGACGTTTTCTGTTGTCGTCAATATTGCCGTTGTCATTTCTGTTGCCATTGCCGTTGCCGATGCCATTAACATTGCCGTTAACTGTGCCTTTGCTGTTGCCTTTAAAGTTTCCGTTCCCGTTGCCATTAACGCTGCCTTTTCTGTTGTCGTTATCGTTGCTGTTGCCATTGCCGTTACCGTTAACGTTGAAGTTTCCGTTGCTGTTGACGGCAACGGCAATGGTAAATCGCGCCGTAATCGTCAATATTATCGACAACCTTGACGTCAATGACAACGGCAACGGCAACGTTAACTGCGACGATAAACGGCAACATTAATGACAATGGCCGTAATCCCTGAAATTTTTTAGATCATTAAGAATTAATAAAATTAATCACGAAACTAACTACTTCGTAGTTATTTAGAAATTTTTTTCTTAAAAATGCAATTGTTGACAAATGATAGAGCAATAGAAGTATTAAATAAATCACATAAACCTCTGCGTCATTAACTACGATTATGAGTTTAATATTCTACCGTCGTAATTATTGACAAATTTTTGTATTTATTTTGATTTTTTACTTTACAATTACTTTTACAGATTGGCATAATTATTTTTAAAAATTATACTTAAAAAATTTTTTAACTTATATTGTGTCAATAAGTTTTAATTTTTTGTAGAAATTGCTCCAAAATTAAATTACTCTATACATGATATAGAGAACGTTTTAGCAGCATGCAGAAATGGAATAGTTATTTCAGTTGCAAGCAAAAAATTTGGTGGTTCACGAACAATTTTGTTTCACGTAAAATATGAAATAAAACGCCGGAGATAAGTAAAATGAAATCACCAACTATTTTGACAACTGAAGAAGATTGAACTAAAGTATTGGATAAAACAAGTCTCTAAGCTTGAATTGCCAATCACCAAAGACCAGTCAGTTTCGACAGTGTTTCATATGTTACTTACTCAATTAAAACGCAGTATTTGTTTTACTGATAAAAGATCGGGAAGATACTGGTATAAAGCATTTCTAAGAAGACATCCAGAAATAACAAACCGAAAGTCGTAAAATTTGACATTACTTCGTGCTTCAGGCTTTGTGGAAAATATTAGGAGTCCATGAAATTTATTCTTATTTTGAGCAAGAAGATTTATTATCAGTTCTAGAAGATCTTCAACGTATATTCAACTGCAATGAAAATGCTTTCTTTCTAAGCCCTATAGAAAACAAAGTTCTAGTTTCTAAAGACGAAAATGGTGTTTACAATGTAGTTAATTGCAATGATAAAGAGTGTATTGCCACGTTAATGAGAAATGCAGCTGATGATTTGTTGCTACCATAATGTTTGCATGCAAGCGTCTTTCATCATGTATAGCAAACTCTGCACCATCAGAATAGCTATTGGAAAAACAGCATAGTGGATGATAGCAGAACATTTTTTCGAATTTATTACAAATATTTTTTATCCACAGACAATTAAAGAAGATATTCCAGTAATATCATATGTTAACGGACACTCCTCGCATTTAACTTAAATTTAAGCCGTTTTTGTTTGAGCAATAAAATAATTTTAGTGGCCTTATTTCCTAATGCCATCCACGTTATACAGCCGATGGATGTTGGATTTGTTTCGGCCATTAAAAGTGCGATGGACAAAGATGGAAATGGCGACTATAGAACAACGGTGAAAAATTAACCAAAATGTATTTTGCCTCGCTTTTAAACGAAGAATTAAACGCGATTGATGTACACAGTATTTTTAAAAATAGTTTTCGGAAATATGATTTATTTTTATTCAATGCAGATGCAAATGAATATTTTTGGCTTCTTAATAAAAATCAATAATCCAAATCTATCTCGCCAATTCGGTAGTTCTTCTGAACCACAATTATTATTACAGTCCTTAGAAAGACAGTTATCAGAACTGAAATTAAATTCGTTCCTTTTATAGGGCAATGCAAAAGGAGATATTGAAGATATAAGTTTATTTATAATAGTTATTGGTTATCTTTAAAAAAAAGTGGAAATATGGGACTTGTGCAATCTAATGAAAATTCTGAAGTAGGAATTAGTCAACAACTTTATGAAGATGCTCAAGTACACTTACAATCTAATGAAAATATTTTAAATAATGAAAATGTTTTGCAAGAAATATATATATAAACAAGCTTGGAATAGTTTTTGAAGACTCTCAGAAATCTAGTCATATAAAGGAAGGGAATCATTTAGTCATTTATATAATGTATCGTATATCAATGAGTCTAATGTGCAATCACAATTGTTGGATAACGTTAAACAAAGTTCTTGAAATTCTAATATTCTACATGAAAATTTTTTTACAACAAGCAGTAATGTAATCGTTCTTTGTACAAACGAAGAAGAAATTATCATTGATAATAGAAAGAAAATGCTTGCTCAGTTCCTGTACATCCTCAGGCAAGAGATATCCCATCTACCTTCAAGGACTTTCTTTTTTTGCCAGAAGAGAAAAATAAGCCTAAATTAAGAAGAAGTAAAGAAAAAATACCAGCAATTGCCTCTTCTGATAAACGAATAGAACATCATACAAAGAAAACTAGAAGAAAAACGAAAAGCCGAATATGTAAAAGAAGAAAGAAAAAGAAAACGAAATGAGAAGAAAGCTGAAAATTTAAAAATCAAGTAAGAAAGAAAAGAAGACAAAGAATTAGCTGCCAAAAAGCAAAACTTTGCAAAAAAAAAAGAAATTAAATAGTTGAAATAATATTTTCGAACTGTTCATAAAATATCTTATTTAAAAGCTCAATTTTGAACTTCGTTGAAGTTTTAAAGTATTTAAGATTTAAGTTGTGTGTACTAAGTATATACACAATAATTATTTAATAATTGTTGTTTTAGTAATACCATAACACACATTTTGTTCATGTAAAATTAAAGGTGAGATTAAATAAGAGAATATTAAAGTAAAATAAAATATTTTGTTAAGATATATTTAAGATAAATTAAAAAATGTTTATGTTTATATTTAGATAAATGTTTTGTTTAATGCATCGATAAAAATGATTGCATTTCCTGTAGAAATAGAAACAGGATATTGTGATAAATACTTATCATTAAAACAAAAAATAATTAAAATTTACGTTCAAATTATGTATGACTTCTATGACAAAACTTAATAAATATATATATATATATATATATATATATATATATACATATATATTGTATATATAATACATATAAAAATGTGAAACAGACAAGAAACGATGATAGCAAGCTTATTGGAGAAATCCGATTACTTCCAACTTGGTAGGATTTAGAGACCATATAATACAATATTTATGGAGAACGTAAAAGGATTATTGATCAAATATATAATTTTATAATTCTTATTTTTAATATTAATTATATAAAATTAAAGAAGTTGGAGAAATTGTTTAACGTGTCGATAACTGGTGCCGCCACTATCTCCAAGAATCTGAAGAACTTTTGGTGCAAGAATTCATCTTCTCTTGCGTTCTGTGCAACAATAATCACAAAATACTTATGTCTACCATGGACAACAGAATAAAAAAGGACAACAGAATGAAAAACTACTATGTTTTAGTATATGCAAGGAAAGGAAGCTGAGTAAAGAGTTGATAATAAAAAAATGATACTAAAAAAAACAATTGTGATTGCACATTAGACTCATTGATATGCGATACATTAGATAAATGACTAAGTGACTTCTCATTTATGTGACTAGATTTCTGAGGATCGTCAAAAACTATTCCAAGCTCATTTATATATATTTTTTGCAAAACATTTTCAGTATTTAGAATATTTTCATTAGATTGTAAGTGTACTTGAGCATCTTCATAAAGTTGTTGACTAATTCCTACTTCAGAATTTTTATTAGGTTGCACAAGTCTCTGCTTTTTTTTAAAGATAACCAATAACTAAATAAACTTGTATCTTCATCTCCATCTCTTGCTTAACAAAAGGAATTTAATTTCGCTTCTGACAACTGTCTTTCAAAGGATTGTAATAATGACTATGCTTCAGAAAATTTATGATTTAGCGAGACAGATTCGGGTTGTTGATTTTTATTAAGGGAATGCTGGAGCGAAGGCTGAACTTAATCAAGATCGATTTACAGGTTTTCATTTCCAATATATAAGATACCTACGTCTTTTGAGTTAATGTGATCATGCAAGAAATTCGATCGATTAATTATCGATATTTTTTTCTGTTTTCTACATTACCATCTTAGCAAGGACGAAAACATGTATTAGGCTCGGTTCCACAAATGTAAGATTTATTTTATTTTGTAAAATAGTCCAGTTTTGGAATTGAGAAAAAAACCGGAATTGATAATCTTATATTTGTGGAATCGGGCCTTAGAAATATTAGTATTATGTACACATACAATGTAGGCTACGTTCTAATATACATAGTACGACAAATATGTTCCCGGACAGGGCCTGAAAATCATAATTGAAACAACAATATGCATATTTTTTGGTTTTATTATTCAAAATATTCTCCTCTGGCTTTAATACTTGTTACAGCGATTCAATAGT